GAGAACTACAATTTCTTTTTCTTTGTATTTCAGAGGTTCATCTCTTACTCTTCTCAAAATCTCGTACCTTATGGATCTTTTAAGAAATCTAACGTTACTTCTCTGGGGACTTTATTTCCTCTAGCGTAGTTTGAGTTGACTCGATAGATCTGATCTAATTCTCCTTCCATTTCCTGTTTCCCAATTCCTAATGCGTCTGCCAATAATTCCATTATCAGGTCTAGAAGGTCCTCTTCCTTATCTTCCATTATATTTTAAAATCTTAAAAAGTATGAGGCCTTTTCCATTTCCATGACAGCTATCGAGTCTTCTAGTTTTCCATTTATTTGCATCAGTTTCTGGTTTTCATCTTTTAAGACTTCTAATTTCTGGTCAACCTCAGTTGATTTACCTTCTATTTTTTTAATTCTTTGTTGGTTGGCTGTAACCATTTCTTTGAAATTTTCAAATTGAAGTGCATGTTATTAATTTTTTAGTTCATTTTATCAAGATCACTTTTCATATCCTCATGGTTTCTCGTTGTAGCTGCCATGTGAGTAGCAATTGCCTCTTGAATTACTTGTAGCGTTGCTTGAGTTTCTTTTTGGAACTTATTAGCCTTTTCTTGTTGGAGCATTGTATCAATTGATCTCTGATAAACTGGACTTGCAGCAGAGAAGTTACTTTTTTCCCAGCTTTAGATTGATTTGAGACGCTCATCTTTATCTTTTAATCATACTTTATAATCCACCAAGTAAATCAGAATTTGTAATCCAATAGGCTAAGGCAGGGGTAGGCAACCCAAAAAACTCAAAGAGCCACTTGGACCCATTTCCCACCAAAAACAAAACACTGGGAGCCATAAAACCCTTTTGATATCTAAAATGAAGATAACACTGCATATATCCTTTTTTTACCTTTATTATATGTGTGTGTGTGTGTGTGTGTGTGTGTGTGTAATTACGTTAAAAATTTGAATCCTGGGTAAAGCCATGCAGTAAAAAACAAATAAATACGAACACCAGGATATCAAACTAGAAATCATTTAATAAAATGCTGAGCTTTCATTGGCCAGCACTACCGACATCATCAGAGCATAAGAGCAAGTCAATGGGAGTCCCCTTTTTATGTTACTGTCCGGTTTTGCATACAACTCCTGGACCTGGTCATCGGTCCATCCAACATTCTTAATTGTTTTACTCCTAGAAGGCATGCATTGGCTGTTCCCTTGGTGTTTTTCAAGGCTGCTATTCCATTATCCACTTTCCTTCCTCCAATCCCTCCCCTCGTACATACACCGCTGTCTGCTATCCCACCACTAATTTCTAAAGCTGCTGTTCTCCCTTCCCCCTTCTTTTCACCAATCGCTTTCTTTTTTTTTTAACAAGATTTTATTAAGTTTATATAGATGAGGAAAAATAGGAACAATACATGTATGGTAAAGGGAGGGCTGGAAGGAAAGGGGGAGGGGAAGGAAATAAGGAATTAGGGTAAAATAAGGATAGGTACAATCACATATTTCAACAAACAAGCTACCGTCCGGATCATAATAATGAGTAAATATCATATTCAACCATTTTTAGCGAAGGTTAGACTGTAACGTATTAAAAACAATTAGTAAACAAATACGTTGATCTATTAAGTAAACACTACTAATAAAATCTCAAAAAAATCCTAACAATCAAAAGTAACAGATGAAAATCGGTAAATCAGGAAAAATAATCATATCATCAAAATGTTAGTTAGAACTCGATTAAAAATCAGTCATCTATTCTAAAATATTGAATCCTTCAAGTTCTACCGTGTCTCTAACCATTGATAAAATTTTTCCCAAGTTCTAAAATAAATTGAATCATCTTTTTCTTTCATTTCTAATGTTAGTCTATCCATTTCTGCACACTCTAAAATTTTGGTAATTATAGTCTGGTCAGATGGTAATTTCTCATTTTTCCAAAATTGGGCAAATACTATCCTTGCAGCAGTTAAAACATGCAATATCAAGTAGTCATTCTCTTTACCATAATTAGGTCTTAATATTCCTAACAAAAACAATTCCGGCTTAAATTCTATCTGTAGTTTCATCATCTTTTCCAACCATCTATGGATCTTAGACCAATATTTCTTAGCGATAGGGCATATCCACCAGGCATGGTAGTAAATGCCTGGCTGTTGTTTATATTTCTAGCAGATATCCAAAACACTTTTAAACATTTTTGCTAAGCGAACTGGTGTCATATGCCATCTATAAAACATCTTATATAAGTTTTCTTTATATGCTACCACTTTTGTAAACTTAATATTTTTATCCCAAAGTTTTTGCCAGTCTTCCAAATCTATAGAACATCCAAAGTTCTTTGCCCATACTATCATTGTTTCTTTCACTTGTTCTTCTTCCATCTTCCAGTTTAAAAGAAATTTATAGTTTCTTAATCAAATTCTCATGTTTTTAACAAAATTTTATTTAATGGGGTCTGTTCTTTGTAAAAACCTGTCGATTTTATATCTTTTTCGTATCTTGTCTGAATTTGCAAGTAGAACCACCATGTCAAGTCAATACCTTGTAGTTGTAAAGTTTGCCTGCCCTTAAGTTTTCCCTCTATGTCTAAAATGTCTTTATAACTAACCAGTTTGTCATAATTAATCAGATTTGGATAAGCAAATGCTTCCATTGTTGAAAGTCACTCCAGTATTTTCATATATATTTTATGTTTAATTTTCTCCCATTCTGAAAGTAGTACGTTTCTTATTGCATGATTTTGAAAGTACTTATGTGCTTTAGATTTCTCGTACCATATAAAAGCATGCCAACCTAACTGAAGGTTGTGTCCCTCTAAATAAAGCAATCTTTTATTTCTCAATTATTTCTTTAAGCCAAAGCAAAATAGCCGCTTGATAGTAAAGTCTCCAATTTGGAAGTCCAAAACCCTCTCTATCCTTAGATTCTTGTAACAATTTACATTTGATTCTAGCTTTCTTTTTTTGCCATATAAATCTTAGAATCATTGCATTTAAATCATCAAAAAAATTCTTAGTAAGTTTAATAGGCACTGTTTGAAATAAGAAAATTAGCTTTGGTAAAATATTCATCTTAACCGTCGCTATTCTTCCTAAAAGCGATAATTGAATATTTTCCCATCTTTCCAAGTCTATTTTTATTTTTCATTAATCTCTCATAATGATCTTCTTTTAGTGTAGTATAAAGCTAAAGCTTACATGAGGGGTGTCGCAATTTCGTACATGGCTAAGAGAAATAAAGAGAAAAAGCGATATAGCATGAGGCTTGAGGAAGACTACAAACAGGCCGAAACACTATTCCAGAGAGACCCTGGAAACAAAGGATTGAAAATCAAAATGGATTTAATTAAACACAAACTTAATATAGAGGAATCGGAAAAGTTCGCACAAAAACTACAGGCAGCCAAGCAAAATAACTGAGCATGCGAATAAACCGGGAAGATGGCTGGCGTATAAATTAAGAAGGCAGAAAGAGAAGTCATGGATCATCAATTTGGAAGATGAAAATGGAGAAATTCAGGGGGAGGAGATTATAAAAAGGGGAATTGCTCAAAGATATTATGAAAATCTATATAAGAGAAATGAGGGAAGAAGCGCTGAATGTATAATAGAATACTTAGAAAAGGCAGACATGCCGAAGATACCGGAGGAAATAAAAACTATGTTAAATGAGGAAATAAGCATGGCTGAAATAATTAGGGCTATAAATAAACAAAAAATTAATAAGGCGACAGGCCCAGATGGAATACCTGTTGAATTATATAAAGAGCAACAAAGTGTATTTAATCAATACTTATTAGAGGTCTTTAATGCTGTACTAATCAAAGCTAAAATACCCAAGTCTTGGTCAGAGGCAAATATAACATTGATCCCAAAAGCAGAAGTGGAAAAAACACGGATACAAAATTATAGACCTATGTCACTACTGAATTCGGATTACAAAATTTTTGCCTCAATAATGGCAGAGAGATTCAAAAAGTACCTAATTGATTTTATACACCCAGACCAAAATGGGTTCTTACCAAACAGGCAAACTAAATGGAATATAAGAACAATTCTAGACATCCTCGAATTTTACAAATCGCATAGTGATTGGCAAGTGGCACTTCTGTTTCTTGATGCATAGAAGGCTTTTGACAATGTCAATTGGCAATTTATGATCCAATAATTAAAATTAATGGAAGCCGGGGAAAATTTTTTAAATGTAATAGCTGCAATATATTCTAAACAAAGCGCGCAGATTATAGTAAATGGAGAGGCCACTGATAGATTTAAATACAGAAAGGCACAAGACAGGGATGCCCTCTTTCACCATTGCTATTTATATACACTCTAGAAATCCTCGCTAGAGCAGTAAGGCAAGAAGAGCAGATTAAAGGATCAAGAAAGAAACATATAAACTTCAGGCTTATGCAGATGACCTAGCATTTATTTTAGAAGACTCAGAACATTCAGGGCAGAAACTATTCGAAATTCTGGAAGAGTACGGGGATCATGCAGGCTTAAAAATAAACAAAAATAAAACAAAGATCATTACAAAAAATATGACTAACATACAAAAAGGATCCCTCGAGGCAAAATTAGGCATACAAGTAGTTTCCAAATTTAAATACCTAGGGATAGTTATTTCAGCACGCTGCTCATCAATTAAAGAAGACAACTATGGTAAATTAGTACAGAATATTAAAGTAGACCTAGAACGCTGGAAAAACTTACACCTTTCATTACTTGGGAGAATTGCAGCAGTAAAAATGAATATCCTACCCAAAATTATATTTTTGTTTCAGAATATCCCAATTCAATTAGATAAGAAATTTTTCAAGGAGATAATTAAAATAATCTTAGAATTTGTGTGGTCTGGTAAGAAGGCTAGAATAAAATTAAAGGCTCTACAAGATGCCAAAGAAAGGGGTGGTTTAGGTTTCCCTGATTGGGAATTATATTACCTAGCCGCGGCCCTGACATGGATTAGCGATGGGATAACCTTAGAAAATCAAAGATGCTTACAGTTAGAGGGTTATGATCTTCAGCAGGGATGGCATGCTCACATGTGGATAGGGCAAAACAGAAATCACCAATACTTCTTAAGACACAAGGTTCGGCAAAGATTAATAAAAAGCTGGAACACAGTTAAAAGTCAGTATTATACGAAGATTCCGGCCTGGTTATTGCCACTGGAGGCAGTTACATACCCCAATCTGTTTAGGAAAGACAAGGTTATTACATATAAAGACATTCTGACAGAAGAGGGTTATTTAAAATCAAAACAAGAGTTAAGACAACAAGGAATAGATACAGAATGGTGGTCTTACCTCCAGATTCAAGCAAGATACACGAAAGATAAGCAAGAATGGGGTATTAATAGACAAGATATGGGGCTAGACAAAATATAGGAGAAAAAACAAATAAAGAATATTTATAAACACTTATTGGAGTATAGACTATTTGAAGAACAGATCAAAGAAACAATGGTGACATGGGCAATAGATCTAGGACATAATATTAATTTGGATCAATGGCAGCAGGTATGGATGCGAAACAATAAAATCACATTGGCGTCAACATATAAAGAGAATTTATATAAGATGGTTTACAGATGGCATCTCCCTCCAGCCAGATTAGCCAAAATGTATAAAGGATATTCATCTATGTGTTGGAAATGTAAAAAAGAAAGGGGCACTTTTTCATGTTTGGTGGTCATGTAGAAAAGCACAGGTGTATTGGCGTATGGTCTGGGAATGGGCAATAAAAATGACTATGCAAAACATTCAGTACAAACCTGAGACTTTGCTGTTAGGAATACTTGAAAAAAATGTAAGTAAAGATGACACATATTTATTCATTCACATGGTTACAGCGGCAAGGATATTATTTGCGCAAAAATGGAAAGCTACGAATGTACTGAGTGGGAAACATTAATTCAGAAAATCAGAAATCAGAAAATCATTAATTCAGACAAGATAACTAAAAGATTAAAAAATCAGGATGAATCAGATTTTTATCAAATATGGAATAAATTTTAAAGATGGTGGGAAAAAATGGAGGTCATTGTAATGAGAAAAGCCAAGATTGAGATTAGAATGTTACTGTAAAGAGATTTATTTGTAATTAATGTAAATATGGACTGAGATGTCTGTCAAATGTTGATTTACCATGTTCAATGTTTTTAATTCCTTTTTTTATTCAATAAAATTTATTTAAAAAAAAGTTTATACTATAAGCTGTGTCTGGGCATCTAGCCAAGTTTTAGGGCTCCAGTCAAAACAGCTTGATAAGGTTAAAAATGCAAGGTTAAATGTAGTTCTTAAGTTTGCCACTAGATGTCATTAGATGTTGATTCCCACCAAACTTTAAAAAGTTTAGAAAGTTAAAATCCAATGGTTTCCAAACAAGGAATAAAAAAAAATTAAATGCAAAAGTTTCCCAAAATATCCTTCTTCTATCCCTCAATTGTCTTCACAATGTTATTATAAGTCAGTTTTAATTTCCTGCAATGCTTAAACTTCTGCTTATAGTTCAGGAGGGAGTGGTAGAGAAAAAAAAATCCTCCCCTTCCTAAAGTTTGGGGATTTCTTGCTTTTAGGAGCTTTTTCTGGAACCAGTATTTTTCACTTGTAGAAAGGTAAGGAAAGAAGTCTCACCCAGATCAGCTGTTTTGCTTTCAGCTTGTTTGTGTTCGTTGTGTTTGACAACCAGCAGCTTCTGGCTGACCACATGGGTACGATCAGCCTTTCTTCCTGCTGGTCCCAAGGGCTTCTTTGGATCAAGCGGGTCAGCTACTGCTGGCCGGTGATCTACAAAGCTTCGCCCTTTGGCCAGTCGCCTCTACGGGGCGACTTTCGATCTTGTTGGAACCCCCAGCGGCTAGAAATCAAATTTGGGGAATGGAGCTTCATTCCCCTGCGCCCATGTTGCTGTGACATTACCAGAAAATCCTAAAAGCCTAATATTTTAAGGTGTGCGGGCATGGAGGGCATGGAGAATCTACCTTTAACATTTATTCTAAAAAGACTACATTATTTTAGAGATTAAAAAAATGCTTATATATTCCAGGATTAGTTTCATAATATTAGTTTCACGGATTAGTGATAGGATAAAAGTAACGTAAGAAGGTTATTTCCCTATACAAGCAAACTTGAGCTTCAGGAGGCACATGTAGCTAGACACACCTCATGTTTCAGGAAAAGGATAGACAGATAAAACCCATTTACAACATTTACAGAAAATGCACAATTAAAACAAACAAACAAACAAAATTTTCCCTCTAAATGTGCTTAAAACATTCCCTCCTAACAAGGGATGTAGTAATCAGTCCTTAGTCATTGAAGGGTGCAAAGAAATGGCCGCTCGCACGCAGCATTTATTTGTTTTTATAGACTTTTACAAATAGCAAAAGTTACTAAATGGCAATAGCATTTCATTGGCTAAAATCCTTTACCAATCCTCAAGAGTAAAAAGCTAGAGGCCGTATACAGGGAAATTTGTTGTTCACGAGCCAGCCTTATCAAACTGGCCAAGGTCACACAGACCTACATACTACCACATCACTATGGTGATGTGAAGGAATGAGATAGATGCAGAAAGGAGGGGTACACAGGCTTTGGAGGGGCAGTGTTCTGCACACGATCTTTGCCTGTCTCTCACTTCTACAAAGGGAAGGCAAACTGTTTGCCAAGACTGTTTTCTGGCTAGGCAAACAGGTTGAAGGTGTTTTCTTTTGGTGGCTTATTTTAAGCAGAATTTCTAGCAGAATTTTAAAATTATTTTTTCTTTGGATTAGAGACACTTAACAGTCACATTTACCTCACACACAAAAGCAAGGAAAAGAGAACAGAAAAGGGAAAAAGAAGTCTTAGTTTTACACATCCTGGCCATTGCCACCATAAATCTCAGTTAACTCAAATTAGAGAAGGCACAAATCTTAAGCATATCATGTGGTTGCAGAGAGAGAGAGAGAGAGAGAGAGATCACTATTCCTATATCTTAAATTCCCTTTAAGTACCTTTATTTAGCTGAGTTGGTTTCCTAGCAAAGCCCTGAGCAAAGCCCATTTTTTTTGCATAATTTCTCTACCTCTCTTTTTCATACCTCCATGAATGGGTAGCCGATTCCCATCTCTGGCCTCAAGCAATTTTTTTACGGGGGAGCCTATCTCGACCCTCGAACTAGAACATCCCATGATTCCTCTATTTCCAATGTAGGGGTTCACCTCGGCTCCTAGTGAGACCTCCGCCTACCACCACGGTTTTCGGGTCAAAAAGGGACCCTGGAGGACTCTGATTTCCCTAACAGAGTACGGGTCATTCCTTCAGGGATTCTACCACGGTTTCAGACCAAAAAGGGGTGAGGACTCTTCTGCTCCCTGCAGAGAGTATGCATTGCTCCTTTATTGGCTTTTCCTTCACTACCCATGCGGACCTCAAATGTCCGGGAGGTCTTCTGCTTGCTTTTCAGAGGTATGGATTGCTCCTAGCTTGGGGCTTAATTTCCTAACTTGGGGCTTTGTTTACAGGTTCTTACCAGCTGGTTGCCCAATCCAATTCTCTCATTCCATTTTCACAGTCTCTCCCTTTTCCCTAACAAAAGGTCCTGTGCTCTGGCCAAACCCCATGCTTTCCAGGGTCTGTCACTTAAATAGATCCTTTCTGCAGTTAAGAAAAGCCAAAGGGAGCAAAATCCAACTGGGATTGTAAAAAGGGTCTTCTCACTCTCACACACAGATATATACACATTTCCTTTGCTCCCCTGGGCTTTAAAAGTTAAAATTTAGAGGTACCCCCCTTCTTTCAAAAGCAGTCCTTGAGCTCAAACTCAAAACTCCCTTTTACTATCCTCGCTCCACATGGGCAGGGCCTGGGAAATCTCTCCACTGACACAAGGGGTTTGCTGCCAGCAAGATGGGGCTTACCATTCTCAGTCCATTGGAGAGGTTAGCTTGGAGCTCCATCTGGGATGCCAAATTGTTGAAGGAAAGGTCATCAGGGTCCAGTCCAAGCTGGGAATAAACAACATTGCAACTGCTTTAGAAAGAAGGTTGTAGTTTATTGAAGAGTGCCAGACAGAAAGATGGTTCTAGAAGAGAGAGCACACATAGTACGGAGTGGGTTTTATACCCTCTTGAGCTTTTGTTTGAAGTTGTTTCCTGTTCCTGTTTGAGGCTTTGTATTTCCTGTGTCATGTACTTTGATCTGAATCTGAGTGTGCCCCTTTGGCACCTGTGGGTTAATCCTATTATGTCCTGTCTTAGAGTTTGGGTGAGTATATAGATTTTAGGTGTCTTGGTCTTCTTAAAATTCATGCTGGAGGGCTCCAACTTTCCTGAATGAATTATTACATCTGCATTTCTATAGAGCTGGTTTCTACTTGGGAAAAGGAGACTTGGGGCTATTAAGAAAAACTGGGCATGTTTTTCTGCCTCTTTAAGATCCTTTGAAGAAATATAATATTCCACCCTTTTAATATTTCCTTGGGGGGGACTGACTTCCCACAATTCTATTACAGCTTCACCAAAATTACGTTTAGAACAATCTAAACTAAATTACCAAGGTTGTTACATTCTGACGTTACAGAACTCATGTATCTTGATGTCAAATTCATTAACATAAATGGTCACCTGTACATTTACCGTTCACAACCGACATTTCACAATCCGGCTCAGTAATAAGTGACTCTTAAGATGCCTTCAACTAAGGTAAATCCCTAGAGCTGTAGTTTCAACGAACTGCCAGGGCGCCAAAACCGAGAAAGCTGCTCCTTGCAAATTGAGTATAATAAGGGTTATCACACTACAAACAGATAAAAAGAACCTGCCAATACTCTGTAATCCGCCTTGGCGGTTTCAATAGCCTGGCGTTGCAGAAATCCTGCACGCTGTTAAACACACAAGAAAAAAAAAGACAATCAGCAACACATTCGGCGGACAGTGTCTTGCCCTGGTCATTTCTTAGGTTCTTTCCATTTCCCTGCACCTGCGCCCTGCCTTTTATTAGTCCCATGGTCCCAACACCGCATGCGTAGTCTCATTGGAGCCGTATAGTCCTCCCAGCAGCCTGGGGATATTCTCAGGCCGAACTGCCGCTCTCGCTTCGAATTCTTACGCGCTCTCTTCGTCTCCTCCCCTCTTCCATCCATGGGTTTGCCGAAGTGGGAGGGGGTGGTGGAGGGCGTTTCCCCGGTCGCCGCGCAGCGTCACTCCCAGCATGCAGCGCGGGCCGCCCCTGCCACTGCCGCCGCTCCTGTCCCTGCAGCCGCCGCTGCCACCGCCTCTCCGCCTGCTGCCGTCACTTTCGCAGCTGCTGCCGCTCCGGAGCTGGAAGACATGGCGGAGGGTGGCGCGGCGGATCTGGAGACCCAACGCTCGGATATCGCGGCGCTGCTCAAGACGGCTCTCCGCAAGGGCGACACCTGGTGAGGAAAAAGGAAGGGATGGCGAACGGCGGGGATGTTTGAGGGCCCCTCTCGATGACAGCTGCGGGCGGTGCCTGCCTGAGTGTCTTTTGGCGAGGGAGGTGGCAGCCCTCCTCTGCCCTTCTTACCCTTGTTCATTCACGGGAGATGCCTTTCTATCTGGGGAGCAGGTTTTCAGGCGCCTTTCCCCCCCCCCCTCCAGTGCCTGTGACTGGCTTTGCCTCAGCGCACTGTCGGAACGGCGCTAACTCCTCGCCTGCAGGGATCTACCGCCAGGTATTTTTCCCATTGTTTCAAATGGTCTCTAGCAACCCGTCCTAGGTGGAGGAACGGTGCGAGTGTGTATTTCGAGCAAGGTTTCTCATTCCCAGAGCGGCTTCCTAGGGAGTTTCCATGGTAGGGCCTGTGTCTCTGGAATGATCGTCGTTGGGAGGGCTGCGGGCACTTCTTGGGTATATATTTCACCCGGTTCTTTTCATAACACTCGACTCTTCCTCCCCGTCACTCCCTTCAGAATTCTTAATTTGCTAACTTCATGGTCATAACAGTGATTGCAGAAAGGACGGGAGGGAATAAAACAGTAATGGATGGTCGGTCAGATAGAGGTTTATAAAATTATGGAGGATGCTGAGAAAGTGGAGAGAGAGTAATTCTTTCCTCCCCAAATTCTAGCACCTAGAATCATATAATGCAAAATGGTAGGAGATCTGGGGCAATCCAGAGAAGATGCTTTAATGTATTTTTGTTAAAAGAATTCATTGCTGCAGAGTTCAATTATGGCCATTAGTTTAATCTCAAAAGGGAAATTAGTATATACAGTATACCCATCTATAAAGTCTAGACTGCCTCCAAAATCAGGCAAGATGTCTCTTAAATTAAGAGCTGCTTAGGGGCTGAGCAGAAAAGGGCTGTTCAATCTCATAACCTGATTTAGATTTTAGATACATAAATATCAATCTTTTATTAAACACTTAAAATTTGGATTTTGTAACCTTCTGTATTAATATGCCAAATCTTAACTGATTGATATTGTAGTATTTATGGATTAAGATACAGTTTACATTGCCATAAATATTTTCCTTCTCGGCTGGGAGGAAAAACAGTAGATTGGAAGATTAAGACCAAGTGTGCACATTCATTGGCTTCTGTACCAGGAATGGAAAAAGTGCATACTGGAGATCGACCATCTGACACTCACCAACATCCCTTTTGCAGCTCCAAATGCACTTTTTTCTGAAAGGCTGGGCCCATACATTTTCGGTTTGCAAGGATATTAAACTTGTAAAATGAGCAAATTGAGTCTTAGTGAAATACATATTTCACTTCTTAACATTTCTGCAGCCCTCTCCCAAATTCACTTGCCTTTGTTGCGGTACATTTTGTACTCCATATGCATATGTACGTAGAAATATACTGTAAACAATTTTATCTTTTGTTTCCAGTAATATACAATATATTGCACCCCCTACTTACTGAAATTAGCCCCACGGTTAAGACAGTTCATAATTATAATTACAGTTACTTGGTATTAAAACTCACATTTTTTTGTAGATACATATTGTTTCTATACCAAGTTTGGATCTTTGTGGAGGAAATTTTTTTAAAATCTTCAGCTATAGTACTTTTCATTTATATTACCATTAGATTTGGAAACTGATATTTTGGGGTTGAACCTTAATTGGCAATATGTAAAATTACCACAATGTTATCATTAGGATAATAATAAGATATAATATAATCTTGCCTTACTAGTCTTCAATATTTTCTCTCATTCCAGTTATGAGGTTATAATTTTATAAAGTTATATTATTGCTTCACATGCTAACAGGTTTGGCATGTACTTTTCTTACATTTGAAATAAAAAGCTTGTTACTTGTAATATCTCTTTTAAATATGTCTTCTAAATGCTTTATGTCTTAAAACAGTTTGACCATAACCCTAATATTTAATTTAAAGGTAATTTATTTCATTAATCTATATTCCAGTCTTAAATTATAGCATAATGCTTATTAAGCTTAAATAAAAATAGCAAAGGTTTAAAAGCAGAATAAATCTACCTAGATAATTTCTAGATAATCTGGTATTGAAGTGATGATACTGTAGCTAATTGGAGATCCAGGAATAATCATGGCAGGCTTTGGGAGAAAATATTTAGAAAATTGGAATGTGTTGTGCTTCAGATTCAGAGTCAAAAGGTCAATGGAAATGAATGTGGATGTGCACAACATATCTGTTGGTATCTCCTTTAAAAAGTTCCATTTATTCTGGGCTCCAGAGAAATATTTGTTTGTGTTAAATGTGGCTCCACTTTCCAGATGATCTTGTTGCATTCTTTTGGTGCTCCTTAAAATGCAGTGATCCACATCTATCATGTGAAAAGAAAAAAGCAGTTTTTTTAAGGAGTCTTTGGCAAGAGTTGTATGTCACAACTCATGCCACAACTCCAGGCACTCATGCCACAACTCCAACTAGCTGTCCTAGCACTAGGCTTCATCCTTCCTTTTCTGCTTGACTTGAAATTTTTGTTTGATTGCCAAAGAACTCAAATTATGCTATGCTCCATATCCATGGCATAGCATAGCATAATTCATAAAGGAAGAGTAAAACTAAATATCATATCCTCACAAATGCTTTGATAAACAGATTTAAGAACAGAATGATACGTTCCATATGGGAACTCAGTATAAATGACAGAAGAGGAATAAGTAGGTAGCTTCTGAAAATCAAAGGATGAACTATTTCGTCAGATTCCCAGTTCTTACAGGTTGTCCAGAAATTCAGTGTGATAAATGGTATTAAAGTAACTAATATAATGCAGTCAAAAAAATTGTATCACTTTGGCATGGCAAGTGGTAATAGTGAGGATAACCTGTTTAGTTTGATTTCAAATATATCCAGAGAACCTAGATTTGCACAGTAGACAAATATCTGAGCAGCTTGTCTATCAAATACAAAAAACTAGATTTGTTTAGCTGCTACCTGTGGCAGGAACTAAGAAGTGAAACAATAGCATATATCAGTATTTTCTTTTAAATTTCTATAGAATGTGGATTTGCTTAAGATCCTGCTTGCATATATAAAAAAATTACGTCTAAATAGATTTGTATAAATATAGCACCAGAATTATTTATTAAAAATACGCAAAGTTTTGATACTAGAATCAGATGTCCTGATATGTAGTAACATCTATGTTTGGGAAATTAACTATGTGAGCAATCATGCAGGTCTGTGAAATTGTTTCATAATACATGTTTCTATCATGTTCTTTTGAAGGTATTTAGTGGATAGTCGTTGGTTCAAACAATGGAAAAAATATGTTGGATTTGACAGCTGGGACAAGTATCAAATGGGAGATCAGAATGTTTATCCTGGTCCTATTGATAATTCTGGACTTCTCAAAGGTAATTTATTTGTGTTTGCTATTTTAAAAAATTCTGAGGTGTCTCAGTATATTAATAAGATAGTTTTCTTAGTGACTCCACAGCCTGTGTCCTAATTCGTAGGATTCAAATATTTAATGAAAACCTGCAAGAAGAGAATGTTTAATTGCAATAATCTTATATCTAATATGTCTAGGATGTTCAAAATATTCCAGAATTTACACAAAGCAAGTTTCTGCTGCCAAGGAGGGAAAATACAAATTATCAAACACTTTCTAACTATTTTTGTATTGGAAAAGCATAATAAACTTTAAACTTTCTGAAATTTATTTAAACTAAAAGATGAAAGTATGTTAAAAGCAAATTAAAAGTTTAAAATGGATTAAAAAGTACAGTAGTGATTAAATTGAAGTATTAGTAACTTGAATAGATAGTTGTCCTTTGTGTATTAAATATAGTGGATTAGTGGAATAAGTGTATTTCTAAGAATCTCTTATAAAAATATTTGGGGGGGGACTGTGTAATTCAGAAATTGACTTCCATCATAAGACTAAGTTGTATTCATTTTTTAAAGATTCCCATTTGTAATCTGTGTTTTTTCCCTCATAGATGGGGATTGTCAATATCTTAAAGAGCATCTTATTGATGAGCTAGACTACATTCTTTTACCAACTGAAGGATGGAACAAACTGGTTAGCTGGTATACTCTTCTGGAAGGTCAAGAACCTATTGCACGCAAGGTACCTCCTATAGCAAAACACTGAAATGTTAAAATAGTATTTGGAAATTCTTTGTTTATAATAATTCCCACCATACTAAAAGAACAAAAATATTTTTTCCCCAAGCCATGTTGAACTTTATGTGAGTTAACTAGTTCTGGTACTAACATTTAAAATTGTTCACTCTTCACAAAACTCTTATGTATGTTAATATCAGAACAAAGAACTACGCAGCAGGTATTTTTTATATTAAAGTCTCAGTTATTTCAAGTCCTAGCCTCATTGTTTCTAGCCTGATTTGTGTCTCCTTGAGTAATCCTAAAATATTTCTATTATGTGTTCATTGACAGTCTTCTGCAGATAAAGTCTAAATTTGTTCTTTCCTTGGTTCAGCAAAGCAAGGTCTAATCTAAGTGTATAGGTAATGCATGTTAATTTCATTTAATTTGCACTTTATTGTTTATATTTCTTATCTGGTTCTTTAACTTTTGCGTACCAGACTCTATGGAGCATCCTGTGTTATTAACATTTGATTTTTGCTTGTTGTAACAAGTTATATAGCTGAAGTAGCTATAGCTGATGCATTTTATTAAGATAATTATTTGACTAGTTAGTTGTGACATCTTCCACTTTTGTATATCTCTTCAATCTTCTTCCAGGTAGATATGTAAGGAGTTTTTTCCCTAGGAAATATTTCTTGAGGTAGCTTCTCTTTGCCAGCATCTGTACGAATTCATTGCAAGAAGATTGTTAACTTAATTCTAAACAATCCATAATTGTTTAAGAAATATATGTTTTGAAGAAAAGTAATGTATATGCTTAAAATTTCAGTATAATTTCTTTGTACTGAACATTTAAATGGCTAAAATTAATGTTACAAAATCTACTTTAGCTATGGAAATACCGGTCCCCTTAATTTAACATTGTGAATATTTTTTCTATTGAAATAAATAGTATGAGTTCATATGCATATTTGAGTTCTTGATCAAAATATAATAAAACTTTAATATAAACTGTGAAAGTTTAATTCAGTGCTAGAATACAGAAATTATTTCATGATATTTGAAATAATTTAGCTTATTCAGGACAATCACTTAACCCTAATATCTGTAATAAAGTGTGATAAAATAAGTTATGCTTCATATTATATAATACATAGATTGTGTTTTGTAATGTATAATCCTAAATTTTAAACTGCATACTGAGAATATTATAGATTATTGTATTTTTCCTAAAGTTAAAGATTTCTGCAGACCATTTAGGTATTTGTGTGTGTGTGATACTGATGTAACATGATTGTCATGGCTTCACAGAATTCATAGATACTTTTCACCAAGCATAATGTCACAATTTACAGTGGTTGATTTAATTTTTTTTAAAATGTAAATTATTTTTTCTATAATTTCTTATGGCAACTTGTTGGAAATGGAGTATAAACTTCTAAATGTCCAAATATTCTCCCTTTTTTCTTAAAGAAAAATACAATAAAAATCATGAGGAAAATGATATTTGATGCTACAGGTTTAATGCTTCTTTGAAACTCTGGGCATGCAAATAAGTCTCTAACTTTAGCAATAATAAGAAAATTTTATAATAATACAACCTTAGTGGTAGACCAGTAACCATACACATAAATATTATTTGGTGTTCAAGCTTTATATATTAAACTCAGCTTTCTTTCAAAATCTAAGGACATTTATCTATTAATATACCCTTTCCCCCTCAGTGAGAATTCATTGATTCTGTTGCTATAGGATATGATTTCTAGCAGTTATTTGGTACTTCCTTTTTTGCTTATTTGATGAATCACATACCAAGCTGATGGCTATTTTCAGGACAGTCTACATGGCTGATTTATGCAGTAACAGCATAGAAGATCAGATGGAAGTATACAAGAGGTGATTGTGAACATTCTGCTTACCTCAGTTTCCAAGTTTTGTTGGCTATTAGTAATTTATGTTAAAGAATAAAGTTAAGATTGTTTTCCTAAATAAATTGAAATTAATATATCCAATTTCAAAAATATTGCTGGTATCTAGTGCCAATAAGCTATTTATGTTGCTAGCGTGAATAGTAATTTTTTTAAAAGTAGGATGTTTCTTTTATTATAAGCCTATGTTTAAAGTAGAAATTAAATTTTGATCTAATCTTCACAACCTTATATGGCTTATAAAGCATCTAATTCTAAAATAAAGATTGAACATTTGAAAATTGTGTATTATATATTAGGAATGTATATATTCCATTCAGTTTTGATCTGCTTATTTTCCAGGTAGTTGAACAGGGTATGTTTGTCAAGCACTGCAAGGTAGAAGTTTATTTGACAGAATTGAAATTATGTGAAAATGGAAATATGAACAATATAGTGACACGAAGATTTAGTAAAGCTGATACGATAGGTATGACCACAGAAATTTCTTATAACTATGTAGCTAAATTACTTTTAAAAATAAGTTATTTGTCATGCATTGCTTCCATAAAATAAATGTTATGGTATATCACTGTATTAATTATTGAATTTGATATATTAAAATTGTCCCAAACATTATACTTTTAATTTTAGAAAGCATACTGCCTGCATTAATTTTTCAATATGTATTGTTCTTATTTGACCATAAGTGGAAAACCTTTCTCTAACATAAATGAAAGCACCTTAGCCCACAAAAATTAAATTTTCCATCTGAAATGCATAACATAATTTCTTTCAGACATTGACTGAATTTCTACATAACTCTAAACAAGCTTTAATAGTTCATGCCCTAGCTTTTACAATTCTAAATGAAGTCTAGAGCTCAAATAGTTTTATTTCACTAAAACAAATGACTGAACTTATTACTTAAAAATAATGTTAAAAGTTATGGTCAACTATCAAAATCATTTGCAAGCTTCTGTAAAGTGTCTTTTAATTTCAAATTCTTTTTTGTTTGTAATGACAATATTGAATCAGCAAATTTACTCTAATTTCATAAAAATATACTTGAGACACAGGCACTGACAGTCATAGAGACTTGTTTACATTCTTTATCACATTTTACATTGCCACATTTCCATTGGACTCCCTGTGGTTTCACAGTAATACAGTATTCAAAATAACCTACATTCTAACAGAAAATCCAAAAAACAAGCATCTGCAAATGACTCCAGAAAGGCCCAAATGCTTCCAGAAAAGCTCCGGTTGCCCAAAGTACTAAAGCCAGGGCTAATTTGACTTCCAGTGGAGACTATTCAAGAGGATCAGCATTGCTACAGAAAAGTAGCACTTCTATGCCTTGGCCCCTCTCACAACCCAGAAGTGGGTAACTTTCAGTTATTTTTCCTGACAAGATCAAATAGGTTGGGTTAAATCAAGCAGATGAACATGGTTCTAAAAGTATAAGCCACACAGGTAAACATTAACAGTTTAAATTGAACCCAAAGCTTATAGGAAGCCAATGTACAACACAGTTGTAATGTGTTTCATTTGACAAATGCTAGATAATAAGTGGTCTCTAAAGGCAGCTCTACATAAAGTGCTTTGCAGTAATCTGTGAGAAGTAGATAGGAGTCCCTATGACAAAGTCCTCATAGAACAGCCTCTGCCTGTTTTTCAAGCAGCTAGTAGTGCTTCCTATCAAGAGTCATCACTGGAACTACTTGACTCCCCCAATGAACAAACACCAATTATGTCTTGCTAAAATTCAATTTTAACTTTATATTATCTCATTCAGAACCTTACAGCCTTTAGATATTGGCAGGTGTGCATCTTGGGTTTTGCTTTTGATTGCAAATCTTTAAACTGATAATTTTGATCTAAGTTTTTATACTATATATATTACTAGCTGTTCCCGGCCACGTGTTGCTGTGGCTCAGTCTGGTTAAATGGAAAAGAAAGAAAAGAGAAAGCGCACGTTTATAATATGTTTAATTTCACAATGCTTGTGGGTATACAATATTTTTTGTTGTTCTATTGTCTGTGCAGATATAGAGATTGTCTGAAATCGTAGCGTGTGTTGATTTATGTCCAACAGATGGTGCTGTTTTTCAAAAAAAGTGTTTTTACCTGTCACAAGTGTGACATCTATATAATATAGGTATATAAAAACACGCATGTATTCAAATACAATGTTGTGTCAAAATTTCAAAGCAATTGGTGAAGAACCTTCGGAGATTTAAGATTTTGAACAAACGTTTACATTTTTATTTATATAGATTGTGCATTTCTTTGCTTTGTTATCGTATGCCACCTAGAATTAAAGTATTTTAAAATAAATATCAATGTTTTTCTGTACATGTAGATACAATTGAAAAAGAAATAAGGAAAACCTTCAGTATTCCAGATGAAAAAGAAACAAGATTGTGGAACAAATATATGAGTAATACCTTTGAACCTTTGAATAAACCAGACAGTACAATACAGGATGCTGGCTTATACCAGGGACAGGTATGATATATATTTCTGACTCTACATTTTAAAAATATATTATTCACTTTATGTTGACTGATAGTAGCTTGCATGCTGCCATCTAGAATCTCCTGTTTCTTGTTCTCTATATACTTTTGCTTAAATAATCTCATGAAACAAACCAAATTACTAAAGTGAGAACTATGCATAAGATTGAAAGGAAGAATATCTAACAGTAAAATGAAGCAAGAACAAGTGTTTTTATCTGTATATGTTATACACTGAAACAGTTTTGAAAAGATACAAAAAATTAAAACCCTTTGGTTAAATTTAATCTGAATACTGCTTGTGCTTCATATGTTTAATGATTCCTATACACGTGTCAAACAAAAGTACAGGTGGTCCCTGTTTAGTGAGCACAATTGGCCAAAACCAGGCACTTAATAGGTAATCCACTTTGAAAGGGATGTGGTATGTTGATACTTAAAGCCTTCAGCTACTTAGGAGACAGAAAAAATTAAAGCTCTGAAATTGCTTAGAGTCTTGTCAGTTACAAACAGCAGCTGCAAATGAATTAGTTAAGCTAACAACTGAGTTTATTAATTTGCGCTTAGCACTTTTTAGGAAATATTGCCCTGCAAAGAAAAACAGCTCAGGAAGAGATAGCTTATTTGGACAATCTTTCTGCTTGGGGGGGGAGAGGTGTCAGACATAGAACAATGTATACTAACTGACTCTATTGGTGAACATAGAGAAAAAGATGCTGCAAAGATCATAATTGTGGGCTTTAGTTGTAAAGTAACTTTTTTACCACCATTGTAATTTTAAATGGTAACTATCTGAGTTTCTAAGTGAGGTCTACCTGTGTACCAAAAATGATACTTTACCAACATTCTAGAATGATTTAAATACAGTTTTTGATCTGAATTAAATGTTTTAATTGTTTTAAATGTTAAGATGCATAATACTGGCATAATTGAAAATCTATCATTTGTCCATGCTTCAGTATGCTGGTGAGCATAGGTAGTCCTCAACTTACAACAGTTTGTTTAGCAAATATTCAAAGTTACACCAGCATTAAAAAAAAGTGACTTATTACTTTCTCCAGCATGATGACTGAAGAATCTACCAATGGGTTATTTCAGTCCTCCTGCCCAATCAGGTCAAGTTGTCATGGCCCCTCATTATCTGGGGACCTTCCAGTTTTCATCTTGGTCTTCACCCATGAGGACGTGATTTCTTGAGTCTCTCTTTCGTTTAGCTTATTGGTGGATTCTTAGAAAATAGCTGAGTTAGTGAACTTTATTTCTCTTTCTGTGTATTTCTTCTGTCTCTCTCTCTCTCCCCTCAGAGTTAGAATAGAACTTATCTAGGAAAGGGGGGTGGTGTTCCCCTTCCCTGGATTCAGCATTCTGCTGAATCATTTCACTTTAGAAGTGGGGAGAGGTTTAAATCCCTTGGCAGGGGTTTGCAAGGAGCTTACTAGTAACTTCCAGCACCACGCGTGCAATAGCCTTGCTGAGCGGTCGCCATTTTTGAAGCCTCGTGGCTTCTTCCTGACCGGGCCCGATCAGAAATCCCTATAGCGGCCGCCATTTTGGATTCGCGCAGGTTTCACTTTCGACAAATATTATGTTTTACTGGCGTTCCTAAGAGCTTGATTCAGCTAGCGACGGGGAAAATACTGTTTTTGAGCTTAATAGTGCTTGTAGCTGCCGCAGAAGGGATCGGAGCCTCGCAGTGAGGCGAAAGGATTTTTTCGTGCCCAACAGCTGTTAGGCGCGATTCTGAACAGCGTTCCCCGAACCATTAGAAATAACTCCAATAGCCACAGTTGTTCCTTTTGGGGGTTTCTTGAATTGCAACAGAGGTTTCATTAGCTTCCCTACCTCCCCCCACCATCTACCTCCTCATAGAACTTCGTCAGGTCCACCATTTTGGAAGCAACTGACTCCAGCATGGGACGCCATTTTGTTTTTTTAAAAAACTAAACTAAAGTAGTCAATTGCAGGAGTTTCACTTAGTGTACTAACATTTATTGATTCCCTTCTTGCATTGAGTTCTAGTTTCAGAAATCTAGACACCTGTGAGCACAAGTGTGGAATCAGCAGCAGTTCTCTTCAGGCCTGGTCGCTGTAGCGATTGTTCTGCCCCTCTGCATCTAGTGGCTGCTCCAGCATCCTGACCATCACCACTACTGTGGGACACGTGTGATTCATCGCCTACCATTGAGGACGGAGGAGCGCTTTGGTGCTGAGCGTGAGTTCTGGTGGCTAGTGGGCCGAATCACGCCAATCCACGTGAGATCCCTGCAGACCGAGTCAAGCCAAAGGCAACTTTGGGTTGTATTTTGATTAAAATGGCAGAACCAACTGAGCCACGTCCCTTGGACACGGACGTCACTCCCGCCCCAGCTGAGCCGGCACACGAGCCACCTTCAGGTAAGGCCAAATCTAAATCTAAGCACGGCAGGAGGGTTGGCACGGCAAACAACAGACTGGCCGACCGCACATACAGAGTCCTGGAGAAGCAATTCTCCCAGGCCCAATGCCTGTCTGCTGAGAAAGGTCTCACATTATCGACCTCCACACCACCGGATACGGGAACGCCTCAGCTGTCTACATTCAGAGCGTGGTCGCAGGAGACAATGTATCAGCAGGTCCCGACCTGGACCCTTGGTCAGGTAGGTCCACCTTTGTTTGGGCAGGACCTTAATTTGCCAGGTACGTCAACAGCTCCCACCGCTGTTATTACACCACCTGATGCGGGGTTGAGGCTTCCGCTAGAGCAGTCCGTCTCCGACCAGCTCCAACTATGGATAGCTCAGGCTGTGGACCAAGCCATGGCATCAAAGGGCCAACAGCAGGCGTCTCCCTCTGCGGGGCCTTCCTCTTCGTCGTCTCCAATAACCGCCAGGCGGTCTCCACTGGAACGGTCAGGTATGGTTTCCCCATCCCATTTTCCTGATTCTGATTCTGATGTGTCGGATTATATGGGAGGCAAGGACGGTTGGTCGGATTGTGAAGAGCCTACCTTTGAATCCCAACCTATGGCAGAACTGTTCAATGCTTTGCTTTTTCCTGCCTTGTTGCGCAGAGCATGCAGGGCAAGTAAGCTTTCCTCCCATCCGGTCCCAACCGATCTACCCCCTCTGATCAGTAAACTAATCTCCTGTTTGCTGTGCCAGTAGACACACACCTTCATATTCCCTGTCCCCAATTATTTCTCCAAAATGTTCAGGAACAGTGGGAGTCACCAGCTGCTCAGCCGTCTCAAGGGGCGACTGAGCGCAATATAGTGGACGTGTCTAAGGCATTGGTAGACCTATTAGAGGTTCCCAAGGTGGATGAATCTCTAGCATCTCTATATTCAACTGCCAGTCTCCCCGCGGATGTATCTGATGCCTTTAAGCAGAGGATAAGAAATCCAACATGGCCTTACGCAAAGCGCACTTGGCATCTGCCTGGGGGGTCAAGGCAACGACAGCAACTTCCTTCTTCACAAAGATATCTAGTACCTGGCTGTGTCAGTTACAGGATAGAATTCCGCTGGAGGAGATTAGGGTTCGTCAGGACTTAATTAAATTACCGGCTACATCCAAATACATGGCTGACGTTTCCCTGTATTCGGCCAAACATTCGGCCCGATCAATGGCCTCCAGTGTAGTCACTAGGAGACTTTTGTGTTGAAAAGCTAGAGAGCCGAAAGTAAGCACAAGTGGCGTGCGACCACAGCCCCCTTTAAGGGCGGCAAGCTGTTTGGGGAGGCCTTAACGCCTTATTTAGTCGAGAACAAACAAAACAAAAGGTAATCTCTCACGTGGCAAAGAGATCTACCAGACGGTACATTCCTTACAGTCGCCGACAGGCCTTTCGGGCAGGGACGGCAATAGAGTCTACGCAACCATACCGGCCACCTGCTCCTAAACCGGAGCGCTCCTTTGACAGGACAAGTTATAGGGGCAGAACTCGGTACCAGTTGCAAGCCAAGCATTCCTTTCGTGGCAGAGGGGGTTGCTCCTTCCGCCGAGGCAAATGACTCAGAAGGAGTTCTTCCCATTGGCGGCAGACTAACTTACTTCATACGCCAGTGGGAAAGCACGACCTCCGATTCCTGGGTTCTGCAGACAATCAGAGAAGGTCCCTGGAATTCAAATCCATCCTGTTAAATCATTTCGTATCTTGTCCAGCCATGAGAAACCCGGTAAAAAGGGGTTTCATGGAAGATGCTATCCAATACCTGATCTCCATCAGGGCAATAGAGGAGGTTCCCCCAAGCAGGTGAGGCAGGGATACTACTCCATCCTGTTTGTGGTCCCAAAGTCTACAGGGGGATGGAGAGCGATCCTTGATCTCAAGGGATTGAACTTCCATCTTCACTACAAGAGGTTCAAAATGCAAACACTGCACTCTATCTTAGCCAGCATCAGGCGGGGGGATCTGTTGACCTCAATAGATCTGAAGGAGGCGTATCTACACATCCCTATCCTTCCAGATCATCGCAGATACCTGAGATTTTGTTATCTCAACCACCACTTCCAGTACAGGGCTCTTCCTTTCAGCCTTTCCTCATCCCCCAGGGTCTTTACCAAAATCCGGGCAGTGTTGGCGGCTCACTTGAGACTGAACCCCATACGGATCCAGTGTTATCTGGACGACATATCGATCCAGTCCCAGTCAATCTCAGCCGCCCATTTGGACCTGGCCCTCACTATAAGGACCCTTCAGAACCACGGGTTCCTCATAAATTTCAAGAAGAGCCAGATGAATCCCTCTACCCACCTGCTTCATCTGGGAGCGGTCATAGATACCGAATCATGTCATGTATACCTGTCAGAGGACAGACGCAGGAGCATCAGGGATCTGGCTCGCAAGGTGTGCAAAGACAGGGCTGTGGTATTGGCCACACTTTCTCAATTCCTAGGCAAACTGATATCATGCATAGCGATCATGCCGTGGGCCTGGCTACATACCCGGGACCTTCAATGGTTCCTACTTCTGTACCAGAGACAGCGTAGTAGTACGTCCAACAGGCTGGTTCGGATTCCTCATCAGGTACATTTATCACTTGGCTGGTGGACTTCATTGGCCGTTCACAAGAGGACCCTGTTCAAGGAGCCCAGTCGGCTCCAGGTGACCACGGATGCGAGCCTCTTCGGCTGGGGAGCTCACCTCCAATCCCAGATAGCTCAGGGCCAGTGGTCGCAAACAGACCTCAAACACAATATAAACTGGTTAGAGCTCAGAGCAATACATCTAGCTCTCCAACAATTTCGCACAACAGTCAAAGGTCAACATGTACTGATTCGAACCAACAACATGGCCACAAAAGCCCACGTGAATCGGCAAGGGGGCACTCAGTCCAAGTCTTTCATGACAGAGGCCCGAGCATTGAGCTCTTGGGCAGAGAAACACTTACTCTCCATCAGAGCCGAGCACATCTCAGGGGAGGCAAATCGACAGACCGACTTCCTCAGCAGATCGACAATAGATCATTCAGAGTGGATGTTACATCCAGATATCTTCAGGGAGATATCAGTCAAATTTGGCCGTCTGATTGTGGACCTGTTTGCCTCCCCGGAGAATACTCAGCTGCCCAGGTTCCTCTCTCGGTTTCCCTCCCGGGGAGCAGAAGGGACGGATGCGCTTCGCAGCAGGTGGCCACAAGGTCTCTTGTATGCCTTCCCCACCCCCCGCCCCCATTGCTGCTACTTCTAGCAGTAGTCAGGAAGATCTTGGAGGAGAGGGCGGAAGTGATCTTCATCGCCCCTTACTGGCCCAGGAGGCCATGGTTCGCGGATCTGGTGAGTCTTTCATCCTCAGCTCTGTGGAGGATTCCAGACACCCAAATACGGCTGATACAGGGGGATTGTCAACATCCAGACCTCCAATGGCTTCAATTGACTGCCTGGCACTTGAACGCCACACCCTAACCGGGGAATCTTACTCGGCAGAAGTGATTGACATGATACAGGCGGCCAGGAGACCGGCAACGAACCGAATTTATGACCACACGTGGAAGAATTTCTGTCATTGGTGCGACAAGAAGCACATAAGTCTATCACAGGTGACGATTCCTAGGGTATTGGAATATTTAATGGAGGGCGTCAACAAGGGGTTGGCGCCCAACACTTTACGCAGACAGTTAGCAGTTCTATCCTCGATCCTGTCATGGGACTCCTCGGGCTCCTTATCAAGACACCCAGCCATCCGGGCCTTCCTTAAGGGGGTCACAAATACCAGACCGCCTGTAATTCATAGGTATCCCTCTTGGGATTTACCTCGGGTCCTTCAGGCACTAACATCATCTCCCTTTGAACCACTCAAAACGAGCTCACTTCGACACTTGTCGCTCAAGGTCTCCTTTTTGGTTGCCATTACCTCAGCCAGGCACATTTCGGAGTTGGCTGCCTTGTCGGTTAAGAAGGACCTTTGCACGTTTCATGAAGACAGGGTAATTCTCAGGCTAGACCCTTCATTCATCCCAAAAGTTAACACAATTTTCCATAGGACGCAGGAGGTAATCCTTCCAAACTTCTGCCCTCATCCGGCACATGAGTTGGAACGACGCTAGCATACTCTGGATGTAAGGAGAGCCTTACATTGTTATATCAAGCAAACAAAGCCCTTTCGTAAGTCGGAAGCCCTATTTGTGTCCTTTCAATCTTCGTCAATAGGACAAAAGGTTTCAGTTTCCACCATAGGGAGGTGGATCAGGGCTTGCATTTTGAGCGCTTATGTTTCTCTTGCCTTGCCTGTTCCTCCTCATGTGACAGCGCACTCTACTTGCAGTGCTGCCACGACCGCAGCGTGGGCAACTCAGGTTTCCATTGAGGACATTTGCAGGGCGGCGACATGATCATCGCCATCACCGTTCATTAGGCATTACCGTCTAGACAAATTTGCTTCAGCTGAGGTCACTTTTGGTAAACAGGTATTACAACAAGTAGTCACACCATCTGGGCGTCCGGCCCCTACTGACTCCCACCCTTAGGGACCTGGAAAGCTTTGGTACGTCCCATTGGTGGATTCTTCAGTCATCATGCTGGAGAAGGAGCGTTGGCTTACCTGAACGCCTTTTCTCAGCATGGTGATGAAGAATCCACACCCTCCCTTATTAGAGGTCAGTCAGGTCCAGGTGGGATATTTGTTCGTTTAGTTCTTTTATTACCTGCTGAGAGTCATCACGTCGGAATGTTGTCAATGGTTTCGTCCATCGATGAAAACTGGAAGGTCCCCAGATAATGAGGGGGCGTGACAACTTGACAGCTTGGTTTGATTGGGCAGGAGGACTGAAATAACCCATTGGTGGATTCTTCATCATCATGCTGAGAAAAGGCGTTCAGGTAAGCCAACGCTCCTTTTCACACTTACGACCATTACAGCATCCCCATGGCCACAAGCAAAGTCAATGGGTAAGCCAAATTCACTTAACAACCAACTTAACTGCAGTGATTCATTTAACAACTGTGGCAAGAAAGGTCATACTCTGGGGCAAAACTCACTTAAATGTTTCACTTAGCAACATAAATTTTGGGCCCAATTATGGTCATAAGTCAAGGATTACCTGTAAATATAAGTTATGCTCCATTATTCTAAACTGGATGAAGTTCATATTTGCCTTTTTGTTCCATATAGGTATTAGTGATAGAACAAAAAAATGAAGATGGAACATGGCCTAGAGGTCCTTCAGCTCCAAAGTAAGTGATTTAAATAAATTAATGACTTACACTGTGTATCTTAATAGAGTTATGCTCCTTTAGCCCAACCCTTTTCTATTTTGGAAGCAACATTTTTGTAATTCAAAAAGATACAAGTGTGTTTTGATGAAATTATTTGACTTAAAACTTTCCAGAGTGAAAACAAGTATTCTTCAGGATGGAAATTTAGCTGTGATTATAACTTCTAAGAAATTTGGATTAAATTTTGAAATAGTATTGTATTTTCAAGTGTGTCACCACTATTTATGTTAGTAGTTATATTTGTTGCATTATGATTATTGGTTGTCTTTTGACTGTGTTGTGACACTAGGACTGAATAGTTTGTTATCTTCACATTAGCCAGAGCTATAAATTTAATACTCTATATATCTATCCTTATGCCGAGGAACTTGCTTACAGTAGAAATTTACAGACATGACTCAACTAGATTAGTTGTGTTTATTGCAAATAAAAATGTAGCCAATGCACAAAGATTTGCAAAATGTAAAATAAAAACCTATGCAAATGTCTGTTTTCCAGAGTTTATATTTTTCTCCTACATTTTTAGCTCAATCAAAATTTGGTTATTCTCTTCATAGTTAAAATAGGAAGACTCAGTATTGACATGACTATATCACCTCTTTCCTTATTTCCTTTTTTTTCCTACTACATCTGGAGATATTCCATTAGCCTTTCAAAGTTGTCCAAAGCAGACTGCACAAGATGACTAGACTTAAATTTTATTGAGAGGCTATATTAAGAGGATTGTGCAAGTCTGATTTGTTTTTTCCTCTCTCTTTTACACCAAAGAATCAGAAAGCAACCACCCTGAGTCTTTTCCTGATATTGTCACTTTTTCAGAGCTCAAGGAATGCTTCTTTGTTTTTGTAACAACTACTGTATATTTCTCTGAAGGCCATCTCCATAGCTTTCTACAGATGTGTCCATCTGTCTTTTTTTTTTTTTTTTTGGTTGTGGGTAGCTAAAAGATATTGTGCCTCCATTTCTAGTTTAATTTCTTTATCAAATGGAGCTCACAAGATTTCAAACCTCTCCACTGCTCCATTCTCCTGAGTCACTATAATAAAGGAGACATTCTCTATCTTTTCTTTGGCTAAGCTGGTTAAGATCTGCCTTTTCATTTGTCCTTCCTCTTGACCCTGGGCAAAAAGGGGAAGGGAGATATTTCAGTTGCATCAGTCACCCACTGATACCCATCTTTAAGTAACTCTTTTATAACTTTTGTTACTTTTACAGTTGTTTTCATTCCTTTTTTCAACATATCCTCTCCTCTTTTGCACAGCCTGCTTGCCTGGCTATCCAAGCAGATTAAGCTTGTAAAGGTTTTGCAAAGCTTTGGTCAAGGGAGGTGTGGGGAGAAAATGGGAGAACTCTGAATTGGGAGGAGGGAAGCAAAATGTTTTGTAGTAGATGTAGGTATTATAAAGTCTAACGAAACTATGTCTCCCAGCTTATGAAGGAGAAGAATGGGATGCAACATTCTATACGATTTATTAGAAGCTTAACATGATGACAAATGTAGTAAAAAAAAATGCATGCCTTGACACCAACTCTGCACTACATGGCAAAGATTATTCTATATAATTCTATATTATATAGATTATTCTATATAATCTACTCTAAAAGATTCAGCCTTTAGGATGGTGATTCTTAATCTTAGCAACTGTAAGATGTGTGGACTTCAACTCTTAGAATTCCAGGAGTTGAAGTCCACATATCTTTAAAGTTCTCAAGGTTGAGAGATAGTGGATTAGGTTGTCAAGTAAAATATTTTCTGCTCAGGAAAAAATGGGAAATATCCATGGAAGTAGTGGGACAATCCTCTCTTTTCCAAATAACAGGATGATGAAAATGCAAAATTCTATCTTAGAGTAGTTATGTAAGGCCGCACATGTATCCTGCCATGCAGAATAGTGGATTTTATCAGTAAGGAAGGCATCTGCTATTTTAATTAAATCCTAATATTATTTGCTTACTATTTTTTCCCCAAAATGCTTAACTTAATAATCAGCTATTAGGAGAAACTCTTCTCCTAGAACCGTGGTGGCACAGTGGTTAGAATGCAGTATTGCAGGCTAACATGCTGCTCATTGCCAGGAGTTTGATTCTCACCAGCTCAAGGTTGACTCAGCCTTCCATCCTTCCTTCCAAGGTCAGTAAAATGAGGATCCATATTGTTGAGAGCAATATGCTGACTCTGTAAACCACTTAGAGAGGTTGTAAAGCACTGTGAAGTAGTATATAAGTCTAAGTGCTATTACTATTGCTTCTCCAAATAGCTAATTATTACTATTTTATAGTTGTCCCTGAGAATCTCCATTTTGTTAGTAATTAAACAGAAATTTGAACCTGGCTTTCATTCCTAAATGATTCTGCCTGCAAAAATTGTGTTTTAATGTGATAGATACAGAATCTAATGCTGTTGCTTTGCTATTGAACATGCTGTCTGGGATTGCTGGTAATAGAGGGCATAAATAACCCGTGAAGTACATTTTCAGAGAGGGAAACTAAATCAGTTGCAGAAATTATTTATGCTTATCAAAGGGTGTAGGATCTGACATGTTGATGCTGAAAGCTTTTTGTGTTATCCCAGGGTTTCTCTGAAAGCTACCAGCAAATTGTTTAAAATAATTATACTAACCCATTAAATTAAATTGCTATTAAATTAACATCTAAATTCAAATTTAATTTTATATTGTACCATTTACTTTCTGAAGTTCAGCACTGACAGCATCTCAGAAAAACTGCTGATTCCTTTCTATTTCTTAATGTGATGGTATCCCCAAATCAGTCCTATCTGCTGTAATTTGAAGGAGCTTTGGGATTATCAGATCATTCCAACATCAAAGCAAACTGCTTCAGTTTTAAGATTGTTCTCAGTTTTACTTTTGGTATTACAATACATTGGTAAAGTTTAAGCATCTTACCAAAATACTGTGTATTGAGTTAGTCATTCACATATTCAGATTTGGCTCCATTGTTAAAATAGTATTCATCTATAAATTACAATGTTATTTAATTGTTATGTAGGTATGTATGTATTGATCTATAAAAAACTAAAACATAAAGCATATAGATTTTGCATGAGTAACTGCATGGAATGTACAATAAAAATGTATTAATGGTTCAAGATCAAACATAGTAAAACACCAGCATATGATACAAGAACTATAATAAGAAATTTTAAAATAGTGAGAAAATCCTAAACCAGTTAGTAGCTAATAATTAATAGCATAGGGAAGGAATTTGCAACAGCTACAGCTACAGACAAAAATGTGGCAACCTTCTTAGACGTTTCTGAAAAGTGATCATCCAAGAGAAGGATAGTCCCCTCCTAGTCACAATGAACATTAGAGTTATTAACAAATGGAAATGTTGAACTTGATTGCCATTGAGTAAACAGTGAACATTTTAACAGCAAATGTGAGACAAATTCTATCTACCAGTCTGAATAGAAACTAGTTTGACTTTTCATATGGGAGGCTTATATACGTACGTTAAAGGTAGCACCCTATTCAGGCCAAAGTAAATACTGTGTGGAATGTAGAGCGTCTAGGAACAGACCAGGAGGAAGCAACTGTGCTATAAAAGAGATGGGCTAGTAGTCACTTCAGCACTGAAAATCACATGACAATGTAGTCAACTGAAATATTGTTTTCATATATTTGTTCATATTGATAAATTTATCAAGTATGAGACCACACCTGGAATACTATTTCCAGAAGAATATTGACAGCTTAAAACAGGAACAAAGAAGAATTAATAGAAAATGATAGTCCACATATCCCTAGATAGTCTAGAGATTGGTGTTTAAGTGATATAGACCTGCTACCATCACCATTATGTGTTTTCTTTAATGTATGAACTCTTGGTTATGTTCTCAAAGTCACTGCAGCAATGAAAATAACAGGTCAGTGTTGATTAAAATACCTTTTTCTTATATTTGTTCATGTTGATAAAATTAACAAGTGTGACACCATACATGGAATACTGCGCACTTCCAGAAAAATATTGACAGATTAGAATAGGTATAGAAAAGTGACAAAGATGATACAAGGATTTTAGGACATGCCATACAATTCCATAATATTGTGTGTCAGAATCCAATTATATTTCATCTCTAGTTATCAACTATGGAAAACCCCATTTCTGCCCTCTCTGGATTCTGTCATACGATTAAGGAGAAGGGGGGGTGAACAAAGGGGTTTTATGGCCCTCACTTCCTTCAGTACAACTTCAAAGGACTTGAATATGGATATCACCAAAAGGACTAAGCATAAGAATGGGGGCCATCAGCTTTGATCTGTTCCTCTCTGAAGTCTCCCTTCCGCCGGCAATGAGCAAAAGGGGGTGGAAATGTAGAGCCTGGCATTGTCGCTGGGAAGATGATGGGGGGTGCGGCTACTGGGGACCCCTTAAAATCTTGAACTGTAGGGCTTGGGCCCCAGATCCTGTCTAGAACGCCTGCAACCATTTTCTCTTAATAAAAATGCCTGTTGGAAGAAATATTCCAAGAGTTCTGTCTTCTTAAGATGCAAAGTGGGGTGGGTCCTTACATTAGACAGAATCTGCAAAAGTAGTCTACCTGGAAGGGAGAACCTTGCTGGGGGACTTTGGAAAAAATTACCATGTCAGACGGCAGAGCAAGAAAGGGAAAAAACTCCCCAGAAAGGGAGCCGTTGCCCCAACTGAAACCCTGCCAGATGTCGGGATCTGAGAGGTCAGATTCCTCAGGAGAAGAGGTGGTGGAGACACAGGACCACAAACCTCACTGGTCAATGGACGTTGGAAAGAAAGGCGAATGGGAAAAGAAATCAAGAAAGGTGACCCTGAGACGGGGGGGGGGGCAACCAACCAGAATGGAAGCAGAAAATGGAGAAATCCCTGCACGCAAGTGAAGAGGAAGGGAACTGGGCACCGTACTCGGACTGGATCTAGAGAAAGCTATCGACTTGATGAAGAGAACTCTCAGCTCCCTA